GATGATTTTTTGTGACTTACTATTTATTTTTTTAAATATTTTATTTAACTATTCATGAGAGACACACACAGAGAGAGAGACAGAGACAGAGACACAGGCAGAGGGAGAAGCAGGCTCCATGCAGGGAGCCCAATGTGGGACTGGATCCCAGGACTCCAGGATCACGCCCTGAGCTGAAAGGAGGTGCTAAATCACTAAACCACCCAGGCGTCCTAATGACTTACTATTTATTATTGAGTTGGGCCCCAAGTCTGTGAAGTTAGGTGTTAATTATAGAAGATTGATAAGCTACAAATGATTTTTCTCTGTTAGAGGTGAAAATGATTTGTCTCTTCAAGACTTAATTACAAAAGTAACCGTTTTATTGTCCTTGTAGGTTAGTCAGTTTTGAGTCTCACCTAGCAACCATATATCAGCATTTTTCCCTTTCACCGTATATATATATATATATATATATATATATATATATATATTTTAAAGATTTTATTTATTTATTCATGATAGTCACACAGAGAGAGACAGAGAGGCAGAGACACAGGCAGAGGGAGAAGCAGGCTCCATGCACCGGGAGCCCGACGTGGGATTCGATCCCGGGTCTCCAGGATCGTGCCCTGGGCCAAAGGCAGGCGCCAAACCGCTGCACCACCCAGGGATCCCTTGCCATATATTTTTAAACACCATACATATATATACATATATACACATACACACATACCATGATCTCTCATATCCTCCTCTGAACCAGTTTTACATTCTCCAGATTACTAATAAGTTAAATCTTTGAAGCATGCTTACTATATACTTGTATGAGTCATCTTTTTATTTCTTTGAAATTTACACTCTGACCCTGACAAGCATTAATGCCTCCTTAGATTCTGTTTCTGTTATTACCTTTCTTCATTCTCTTCATTACATAAGCATAAAACCTTAGCGCCTGTTTCAATTCCTCACTCCCTCTTCAAATGAACCAGTCTCCAAATCTCACTGATTTTACCTTCCTTGAGAATTTTCTCTCCAAGCCATCCCCTCCCCGTCTATTTCCAAGACTACTGTCTGAGTTTAAGCTGCTCTTCCCTCTTTCCTGAACTTACCTGGTCTGCCTAAGGCTGCTAGGAAAAGATCCCCAAGGAAGAACTCTGGCCATTTCACTTCCCTCACCTTAAACCCTTGGGTGATTCATCGCTGTTCAGCAATAAGGGAAAGCACCGGTTCTTTGGCTTGATTTTTAAGGCCCTCCAAAATTTGACTCCAAACTTGTCTTCTGTGACAAGGACTTTTTGTCCTTCCACCCTTCCATTCTCTATGCCTGTGTGTACTTGCTTATGTCTTCCTTCTTATTGCCCCTCTGCCTAGAGTACCCTCTGTCCTGTTTTCTGCATGTCCAAAGGTAAGTATTCATTAACCTCCAGCTTAAAGCTCCACCACACTGATCCTTTAGCTGCAAGTGATTTCTCTCTGCTCTGAATTCCCAGCACATTTAATTTGTATCTCTTTTATGGCACATATCTCTATTTTATGACATGGTCCTTTATGGAAGTTTCTGTGGCCTCATTGTAGGACTTCATCTATGATCCAACTTTGTATCCACATTATTGCCTAACTGTCCTAATATAGATAAGAGATCCAGTAAAAGTGCCTGAATAGGAGCTGCTGAAAAATCAAAATCTCAACTGGAAAAAGTAGCAAACAGTAAATTATTTTTTGAATGTCTTAAATCTCATCAAAGTATATTTCCCAAATTATTCTTGTTGTAAATGTTTCTTATTCCTCATTTAAAAATATTAACTATTTAATATTAAAAGAGAAAGATGAATATTCTTCAAAACTGAAATAAGTCTTTCTTTTCTCTCTTTGGTATATCTTTTCTCCATAAATAAGATTTCTCATTTCACTGTGGTAAACCTCAGCATTTAACTATTCAGTGTTGTTTATTCATGAACAAACATGGCAGTTTTCCATATGGATGTACCTACCCATCAAATGGGGTCCCTAATAAGTGTTTGTTTATGAAGCCCTTTTATTAAGAAAACATAAGTGTTGCACACTTTTTCTTTTCTTTTCTTTTTTAACTGGGAAGGATATTAGTGCCTTAATCTAATTGATTTGGCCACCCCTAAATTAATCAAGACAAAGGAAGTTATGGCATATCTGCTGTCTCCTATACAATGGCTTTCTTTCATTCTTATCACATTGTAAAACGGTGTTCCTCCATATGCACAGATTTCTCACCAGTATCCCCTGGAGAACTTGTTACAAAAGTACATTCCCAAGACCCACCCAAATTCAGAAACTTTGGGGCAGATCGCCAAGAATCTTCATTTTTAGTTAACCTCCCAGATGATTTTTATGCATCCCAAAAATTTGTGAATCACAAGCTAAATTCTTTTTTTTAAAAAGATTTTATTTATTTATTTGAGATAGAAAAAGTACAATAGAGACAGCACAAGTGGGGTGTAGGGGCAGAGTGAGAGGGAGAAGCAGACTTCCCAATGAGCAGGGAGCCCGATAAGGGGCTGGATCCCAGGGTCCCCAGGGATCACGACCTGAGGTGAAGGCAGACGCTTAACTGACTGAACCACTCAGGTGCTCCCACAAGCTAAATTCTTATCATCTTCTAAATTCAAAGAAAAGCAGAGACCCCCTATAGCATTGCTCAGTGCAACTTAAATAAACTGAGAGGGTTGAGAGAATCTGTTCATCTTCTCTCCTCACTCAAAGTTGTTTTTAAATATTACTTGCCCTCAATATTTTCTCTTGAAAATGTTCAAACACACAGAAAAGTTGAATTAAGAAACAAGTACAGTGGACACCCATGTACTACACCATTAATGTGTTACTACGGTTGCTTTATCATAGGTTTATCCTTTTATCCATCTCTCTACTCATCCATCTGTCTTATATTTTTAGATGAATTTCAAAGTAAATTTCAGACTTCCATAGTGTCTAATTTGGGATGATGGTAACTCAAAGAATAGCAGGGCAGTGAGTCCTTTTAGCCCTGGTGAAAACACAGTGGCCTCATTCTACTGAACAGGATTGATGGCTGTTTGGCCGGAGCATTTAATCAAAGACAGAAGGGCATTTTGCGCTGGCTGCATAGACAGCCCTCACAGAGTAGCATCTACTTGTCTCTATTCATTTGAATAGGAGCTTTAGTTCTGTTACTGGAGGAAGATAGGGAGGTTTGGGGCCATAGAGGAGAGCAGATTAAATATGGAAGTAGGTGACAGCAATGGCCCCTCCCCTCCTCCATGGGTTTTGAGACCCTAATGGAGAGGTGAGTTAGAGGCTGAGGTTTGCTGGGTTCACTTAGCAACAAGGTTGTGAGTCAGACTCATTCCAGGTACCCCTACCTAGCTGTTTGACTTTGGATATATTCTCCCTCTTGGCCTCGGTTTGCTCATTTGTAAAATGAAAGTAAAGCTAGTGCCTATGTTATACTGTAGAGGAGAAAATACGCGTGCCTGGTATGTCACCCAAGCAACTTCAGTTGCTAAAATACAATTAGATTCCTTCATGAGTTTCCTTAAGTTCACACAAAATTAACACATATGACTGTGCGAACTGCTGCACAAGGAAGAGGCGAATGAACTAAATGGTTTTGACAAGACTAAAAGGAATTCAGAGAGAGGCAAGAGGTTGCAATCCTGAAAGTCCTTTCAGACTGATGCGGGAGACCTAGGCTCTTATGTCACGGAGCTGAAGAATGAATCTCGGGGACAACAGAGAATGAGTAAAGTAATAGGTGTTTATTAAGCAGAGACACAGAGAAAGCTCTCAGAAGTGAGAGGGGTCCCGACAGGGTTGCCACTGAGGGCTTTTTGGCGGCCTTTTATTGGGAATCTAACCAGGAAGCCCACGGCCTTTTATTGGGAATCTAACCAGGAAGCCCATGGTTTCTTTGTACTGTATATGGCTGTTTTTTGGGTCTGGTGAATCTCTGTGATTGGTAACTATCAAAGGGAGATACTTCCTAACACTTCAGAGCAGAGGCGCCTAATTTACTTTCTTCTCTGTTTTTACTGTCTTATCTGTTTCCTTGGGTTGGGTAGGAGCCCGTCTCTGGGCCATTTTGATGTCCTTGGGATTTAAGGGAGCCCACGGACTCCTGGGAGCCTGTCTCTGGGCCTTTCCCTTATCCTTCCCTGCCTAGCCCTAGCTGCCCCTAACTCATTCCCTACATCAAGACAACCCACTGCTCTCAAAATGAAATCTAATTTCTTTCCTTCCTCTGCGTGGCCCCTACATTTTGTGGCCTCTGCCTACATCTCCAACTTCATCTCCTTTCCTCTCTTCCCTTACTCCGGCGTTAGGACACGGAGTGGCTAAGGACAGCGCCCCAGGGGCGGAGGGGGCGGAGGGGGCGGAGGGGGCGGAGGGCGAGTTAGAGCGGAGCAAGGCGGGGGGCGGAGTTAGAGCGGAGCAGGGCGGGGGCGGAGTTAGAGCGGAGCAGGGGGGCGGAGTTAGAGCGGAGCAGGGCGGGGGCGGAGTTAGAGCGGAGCAGGGGGGGCGGAGGTAGAGCAGAGCGGGGGGGCGGAGTTAGAGCGGAGCAGGGGGGCGGAGTTAGAGCGGAGCAGGGGGCGGAGTTAGAGCGGAGCGGGGGGCGGAGGTAGAGCGGAGCAAGGCGGGGGGCGGAGTTAGAGCGGAGCAGGGGGCGGAGTTAGAGCGGAGCGGGGGGCGGAGTTAGAGCGGAGCAGGGGGCGGAGTTAGAGCGGAGCAAGGCGGGGGCGGAGTTAGAGCGGAGCAGGGGGGCGGAGTTAGAGCGGAGCGGGGGGGCGGAGTTAGAGCGGAGCAAGGCGGGGGGCGGAGTTAGAGCGGAGCGGGGGGCGGAGTTAGAGCGGAGCAGGCGGGGGCGGAGTTAGAGCGGAGCAGGGGGCGGAGTTAGAGCGGAGCAAGGCGGGGGCGGAGTTAGAGCGGAGCAAGCGGGGCGGAGTTAGAGCGGAGCAGGCGGGGGCGGAGTTAGAGCGGAGGCGGGGCGGAAGCGTGGGCGGAGACCAGGAAGTGACGGCCCTCCCGGCGGTCCTTCTGGAGTCGGTGAAGTCCTCGGCGTCAGCTCTGCGGCCACCGCGTTCCGGGCCATGGAGAATGGAGCGGTGTACGGCCCCACCACGGAGGAGGACCCGGGCCCCGCCAGGGGCGCCCGGAGCGGCCTCGCCGCCTACTTCTCCGTGGGCCGGCTTCGGTTGCCTCGGCTCGCGTTCAAAGTCCTGCAGTTGGTAAGTCCGCGGCCGGGGTGGGCGAGCCGGGCCGGGGCGGGGCGGGGCGGGGCGGGGCGGGGGTCTGGCCGCGGGACCGCCGGCCTGCGGGCTTGGGAGGCTGCCGCGCCGCTTCTCCTTGACCTGGCTGTTCAGGAAGCGGCGGTTTCCACACCCCAGTTCCTTCTTTCTCGCTGGAAAGGGGGGCGTTCCCTCCCGCCGCCGGGCTGCCGCTCCACCCCAGTGTCTCCCCCGCGGGTCCCTGAGGACTGCCCAGGGCCCCCGAGCGAGGTCCGCGGGTCCAGGAAACGCGTCGGAAGCCCAGGTCCACCGCTTCGACTTCTTTCTCTCCCTCTGTTGCGACCTTCCTCTCCTCTCGGAGCTGATACCCTGCGTTATCGCCCAGAGTGCCTGTATTTGCACTAAGTGCTTCTTGTTGATCTTTCTCTGGTTCTTGTGGGTTTTCCCGGTACGAGCCCGTGGTGGTGCTTGGGGGTGTGGGGGCAGTTCAGTTTTTGCACCCAGACTCCGGTACCAGGCGCGGCATTGCGATGGGTGTATCCCATAAACTGTCTCCCACAGGTTTTATATTGACTGGAAAAGAATTACTTCCGAAAGAGCAATATGTGTGTACGAAGTACACGGTGGAAAGGACAGCTCGTATTTGTGTGCAGGTAGCAAAAGTAGGGCATGGTTTACCCCTCTCTGAATTTCACTGAGTTTTCGTTTACTTTGGGCAGTAAAGGTCCTGTAAGCCCTCTAGCAAGAATAACAAAACATCTTTGAATTTTAACTCAAATTACACACATATTGACCTCCAGTGTTCTGTTTTAACCAACTGTGGACATCATTTTCTGCAAGAGGGAAAATTGGTTTTGCTTTTTTTTTTTTTTTTGTTTAGTCATCTCAAGTAAAAATAACCAGTTGGTTTCCTTGGGAAGAACTTAAATTCTTAGAACTCCGATAACCAGAACTTATTCTTAGAACTCAGATGACCTACTTTTATTAAATGCAAAAACAGCTGTCAGAAAACTGGTAGTACTTTCTGGTCGTCAAAATGATCACATCTAGGAATAGTTTGAAATCACTGGGGGGCAGGTGACAGTGTGGCCTATGGAGCCGGAGAGGGTCTGGCTCTGCCTATCTTTCCAGTCTCCTTTTAGGGAGTTCCATACTGGCAGTCTTTCAGTTGTCACCAGGCATCAGGGGCTCCCTCCTGCCCTTCTTCCTTCGTAACATCTGTTCCTTCTACCCAGAAGTGCATCTTTCTGTTCTCTTGTCAGTTCTAACAGGACTTTGAGATGACAGTGGTGCTCCTCTGCTCTGAGCTAAAATGTTTCCACACAAATAGTAGAGCTCTTTAGAACAGAAAAGATCAGTGTTTGTATCTTAAGTGTTCTTGCTGCTCTACAGACATCATCAGTATTGGTGTCCTGCCTGTTAAATTTCTCTGAGTTGTCTGTTTTTCCTTTCTAATCAGAAATAGCAAAGCTGAAGTAAAATTTCTCATTACTTTAGTTTAATAAACGGTAGTTCCATATCCTTGAAATAGAATACAACCAGAAATTTTGGTATATATACTTTTTACTTGGATGTGGAGAAGAGGGGGAAATGAATTTGCCTTGCAAATTCCTGTTTGTTCCTGCTTGTTCTCCCTCATACCAGAAGGAGAAAGAGGGATAGGATAAAAACTAATGTGTCTTCTTGAAATCTACTTACAGGCTTATCTCGGAGATATTGCAGGTTGGGTTCCAGATCACCACAACAAAGCGAATAGTGCAATAAAGGGAGTCTGATGAATGTTTTGGTTTTCCAGGGCATATAAAAGTTATGTTTGCACTATATTGTAGTTTGTCAACTGTTCAATAGCATTATGTCTAAAAATTGTACATACCTTAATTTAAAATATATTTTTTTAGATTTTTAAAAAAAGTTTTATTTGTTTATTTGAGAGAAAGAGCATGAGCAGGGGGGCAGAGCAGAGGAGGAGGAAGAGGGACAAACAGACTCCATGTGGAGCTCAGAGCCCGTTGTGGGCTCAATTCCAGGACCAGAAGATTATGACCTGAGCGGAAATCAAGAGTCAAATGCTCATCGGACTGAGCCCCCCAGGTGCTCCTTAATTTAAAATGTTTTATCACTAAAAAATTCCAACCATTTTCTGAGCTTTGAGCTAGTTGTAATCCATTATCAGATGACCATAGCAATATAATAAAAATGAAAATGTTTGAAATATTGCAAGAATTACTGAAATGTGACACAGAGACATGAAGTGAGCAAATGCTGTTGGAAACATGGTACCAGTAGACTTGCTTGATTCATTGTTGCCCAAGCATTCGATTTGAAAAATGTATCTGCAATGTGCAGTAAAGCACAGTGCAGTAAAATAGGTGTGCGCTTATTTATGGGGAACTTGCAATGTTATAAGAATGCTTTCTTCAATATAGATTTTTTAAACATATTTCATTATTGCTTTCCATTTTGATTGTTTTTATTTCCTACTTTTTCATTGATGGCCTCTGTCTTTTCATAATAGTGTATATTACGGGAGTTACCCAGAAAGTCCCAAGGAAGTTATAATGAAATAAATTAAAACTCTCATCCAGTCTGAAACAACAGGGCATAGTCTTCTTTGCCTTAAGTCATATTATGTCTTTAGGTTATTTTACTCTAGGTAACTTTTTTTTTTTTTTAATAAGTCGATTTGCAGAGCTCTAATAAAGAAACAACTGTAATGTAGAAACCCCTAATCAGAAGAGGCGGTACTTAACCAGGGACATGCAAACCCTATAACATTTTATCCAAAATGTGGTACATATCTGTGTTTGGGTATATTTTTCTAGACCCATAAATCTTACCAAATTCTCAAAACCCCAAAAGAGAAAGAACCTTACTTTAAAACTTAAAAATCAGGCTCTGCATACTTAGGAAATTTCTTAGAATCCAGAGATTGAATTGGATTTCCTCTGAGGTTCTTTTCACTCTTTAAGATTTTTACAAACTTCTGAGGCTCTGTGGGATGTTCTGGCACAGAGCTGAACACCAAACAGAGAGTTGAGCCTATAAACAGAAGGAGAGGTTAGAGATAAAAGAGCATAACCAGCTCCTGAGTTATGTACTCTTGCAATTATGTAGCTGTGTCTACTGCCATTCAGATAAAACCTTAATTTTGTCAAAGGCTTGTCCAAAACAAAAGTATCCCTTAACTACCATCTGACCTTCCAGAACTGAAGAAGAAATACTTAGCTGGGAATGCAAGCATAAGGAGTCATTGCAGTCCTAAATTTTTATGCAGTTTATTTATTTATCAGTTTATTTTATCCTTAGATTGGTCCTGGTGAATATATATACACATATATATGTATACACACACTCCTATACAAATATATATATATACATACACACACGCACATATATGTATGTGTGCGTGTGTGTGTGTGTGTGAAGTTTTTGTTGTTATTTTGAGGGAGGTTTTTTTTTTTTTTTTATTTCAGGGAAAAATTGACATTGGGCAACCAAATTCCTTCCTGGAAAGCTGATACAATGATCTGCATATGTGTAATATTCTTGTAACACAAGCTGACATATGTGTTTATGGTACCAGTTGAATATCCTGGTGGCCACACAGTACTGTGATAATAATGACTCCTCAGGCAAGCAGTTTGATTTAGAATTCACCAGTGATTTATTAAATTATAAAATAATGTTACTCTGTAAGTGCCAAGAAACAAATCACTTAGAAGCAAACAAATCACTTAGAAGTAAGAAGTTTATCTTACATTGGTGATCTTTTCATTATTTCAATGTGAAAATTGATCTGTATTAAACTGAAATGCTCTGTCTTTAACCTTGAGGAAGATCCATAATGTCAGCAAATTAGATCTTTGAACCTTTGTGAGAGTAAATATTTGCCTAAGGTACAGGAGGCCTGGCCTAACTGCAGCCTGCCAGATTTGTTTACTTGGACCTTACGTAGGACCGCAGGTTTTAGTAGCAAGTTCATTAATTCACAAATTAATATAATTTTGTAGTTGGGGCCTTATAATGAATGGTAAGCATTAAAAAATTCTTTTTATAAGAAATGTTTTAGTAGTAGACTGTAAAAGACCAACGATGGAGACTTTGTGTTTAATATAACTACTGTTAATTTAAGAAGACTAATGTTTCAGAAGGGGTAGTGAAACTGAAATGAAGAGAGAGACACAGGGGAGTCAATGTTTAAATCACCAGCACTGTGAGTAAGCCACATTTTAGTCACTAAGATTCCCCAAATGTGTTGACCCTAGCAGATTGGTTTTAATGTAAAATTTAGCAGCAAAAGGGGAAATGCACAAAACTCTGATCATAACTTCAAAAATCCAGTCTTAAGGGGAAACCTACACAAACATACATAGTTGTAAAATGAGCTTAATAAACAGTGTTCAAGAAGGGGAACAAGCACGCTGTAGGAGTCAGGAGGCCTGGCTTTGGGGCTATGACTGGCCATTGTGGGACCTGGCCTGTCAGAGATTCATTCCACCACCTGTAGACACAAAGGTGGGAGACTCTGCCCTCCAGGGACCTCCCAAGTCCCAAAGACAGATTCCCATAGATCTGTTTGAGTAAAAGTTTATGTCATTAGAAGCAGTTGCATTGGGTGTACTTCGCTTCATAGTCATTAGCAGTATTTAATGTGAGGTCTTCATGCTACTGGAGAGTAAAACCATTTACCAGAAAATAATTATTGAGCCTTTGAACTTACTTTTAACACTAATCACAATCTCCTTCCCCAGCGACCTTACCTCTTTCCTTATCCTTAACCACTTGGTATTTAATGCTGGTGACTACCCATTTCTTGAAATTATTCCTTCCCTTAATTTTCACACTTAATTTTTTTTAATACGAAAAAGCATTTGTTTACCAAAATATATATAAGAAACTAGGAAAAAGAAACTAGAGAATATGATTAAAATAAGCCATATTTCACCACCACCACCACCCCATCACTGTTTAGATTAATGATTTGGAATGTATTCACTCGCTTATTAAGGAGTTTTCCTAAGAAGTGTTAGACCGCCTGTGACTTGCTTGTCAGGTGTGAGTTGCTCTTTTCTCTCCTACTCCTGAGTTGTGATATTCTTTCAGGCCCCACCCAGTCCTCTGCTCCTCCTGTCTTCTAACCAGCCAAACCAGGCAGGCAGTCCCTGTTGCTTTCATCCAGAAGTCTACACTCCCTGGCCTGATCATCACATAAGCACACCCAGCTCCTTAAACATTTTCATGATCACTGCCCACTCAGGTCAGTTACATTATCCCTGTGGGGTTTACCATGCAAATTCTTGCCTTCATGAATCTGTTCTTTTTTGTCCTCCACCTGGAATGTTCTCTGCCTATCCAGATCCTATGTATCTCTTGGCCCTGCTTTGAGTCTTACTTTTCCGCTTATTCTATTTTAGTATAGGTGGATTAGAGCATTTTCCTGAGATTCCTTGAATCTACATATAATGGATGGTCAATTATGAGTGTATTATTTTTTTATTGTTTCTTACACATTGATCTTATTGCCCTGTCAGTACATGTTCCTATACGTATTACAGTGTTGATACATAATACTTAAATGCATTTTTAAAAATATTTTATTTATTCATGAGAAACAGAGAGAGAGAGAGAGAGGCAGAGACACAAGCAGAGGGAGAAGCAGGCTCCATGCAGGGAGCCCAACGTAGGATGTAGGACTCGATCCTGGGGCTCTAGGATCAGGCCCTGGGCTGAAGGCAGGCACAAAACCACTGAGCCACCCGGGCTGCCCCTCAAATGCATTTCTTAAAAAGTTTTTTTTTTTTTTTTAGTTGAGGTATAATGGACATATATTAGTTTCAGGTGCACCACTTAAAGATACTAATAGTGCTATGGGAGATGATACAGGAAGGTTCGGAGCATCAGACAGATGGGGAGTCAGGAGAAAACTTCATATGGAATATAGTTTGTAGTGCTGATTTCTTGGCTTTTAATGGGAAATCAGAACTAGTGCATGTCCAAACTTGATATCATACCCCTTTCATCTCTTAGGAGGCCCGTGCAGAATCTGCCTCTCAATACTGCTCTGAGGCTTCAGGTCAATAAGAAGAACTCCTGTTGATAAGTTTGGAACAGGACTGGTAGTAAAGACACTGATGGCTGCTGGCTGAGCTGGATCCTGCCCCTTTCTTACTGAGAATAGAAAAGCAGTCTGTGGGCAACCCTGGTGGCACAGCGGTTTAGCGCCGCCTGCAGCCTGGGGCGTGATCCTGGAGACCCGGGATCGAGTCCCATATCGGGTTCCCTGCATGGAGCCTGCTTCTCCCTCTGCCTGTGTCTCTGCCTCTCTCTCTCTGTCTCTATGAATAAATAAATAGAATCTTAAAAAAAAAAATAAAAGCAGTCTGTGTCTCTGCAGAAAAGATTTGATTATTATATGGCCTACACAGATGAGTGTTCCTGACAGTCTAATTATTGGGATAGGAATGGCTCAAGATCAAGTATTCTCAGACCCCACTTAGAGTTTTAGGCTGATATATTCTCACAGTTAATTAGCGTGTATATACCTGAGGTATATTTTGCAGATTTCTCATAGAGAAAACTCCTAAATGTTGGCTAAGATTTAACATAGAGGCAAGAATAAAGCAAATGGAATATTAGACATTTAGCATCCTATACTGTACTCATGTAAAAACTCATCCCATAATTATAATGACAGATGATGAAAGAAGTACCTTTATGCAATGACTTTCAATGATTTGTCTTGGTGTGTCACTTTGTAGTCTATGGTGTAATAATTGGGAATACCTTACCTAACCTAACATCTGTCTGAAGGAGGTTGTTTGGAATACGCTGGACTATTTTATGTCTTACTAACTTTTAGGACAGGCCTAGGTTTTCACTTCTCCTGGTCGTATACAGAATGTGTGAATATGGTACCAGGCCATCTAGCAGTTGTGTGTTTAGTTTTTAAGAAGCTGCTCAATTGTCCAGAGTGGTATACCATTGACTTCTGTTTGATGAAAATATTTTATAGCCTGGTTGGCTCAGTTGGTTAAGCATCTGACTCTTGGTTTCGGCTGAGGTCATGATCTCAGGGTTGTGGGATCAAGCCCTGAGTCAATCTGTACTTACTGTGGAGTCTGCTTGAGATTCTCTCTCTCCCTCTGCCTCTCTCCCACTCACACTTTATCTCTCTTTAGATAAATAAAATCTTTTTTAAAAAGTATTTTGTAGGGCAATATCTATAACATGCAGTGTATCTGCTGATTTTGGTAGCACTCTTGTCAGGAATGTATCTGGTTCCTTCTACTGTTCTGGGGGGCAATATGGCATTTCCCGATAGGCTTTGATTTAGGTCACCAGTCATTTTGATGGTCTTAAGGCTCAAAGGAAACTCCCTTGGCTTTCATAAAACCCACACAAACTGCCCAAGTGAACCTTTCTTTTCTCTCTCTTCCTTCTTATTTCTAAAGACCTCCAAACCTGGGCCCTGAATCCTACCTATAGAGAGCCTCTTTTCGTCCTCATCTTTAGACTCACTCTTCACTCTTCTTGGTTTCTGCCTCAGTGTTTAATCATTGTCAGTTCTCTCCCATCTTGAAATTCCCTTCCGTTTTACCCTGTCCACTACTCTATCTGGCCACTTTTGCCAGTCTATACCTCTTGACTCTGCTGGCTCTATCCCACTACTTTGTCTTCCCCTCTCTTCCCACTATACAGAACTGTAACCTCAGCCTGCCTGGTTGATTGACTCCACTGAAACAGGCTTGCTGAGGTCACCGGCAACCTTCTTGGAGCTCAGTCTGACGTCAGTGTGTCACTGTTGTTCTTTCCCGACCTCTAAGTAGCGTTCTTTACCCATCATTACTTTCTCTTGGTAGTAATACTTTTTCCTTGGTCTAGTACCTCCTTGGACTGCTGCTCTTAATTGTCCTTTGCTGGTGTCACCCCCTCCACACATCCTTTAAATCTTGGGTTTGCTCAGAGTTCTGCATAAAGCTGGCTTTCCTCATTCTGGGGGATCTCACTGGCCAATGCCCACGACTTCATCTCCACCCCAGACCTCTCTCCTGAGCTGCAGACCTGTGTATCCTTTTGCTTCCTAGAAACCTCCCTTAACTCTTTCACAGACTCCCTCATACACAGCACATTTGAAACGTAATGTATTCTCTTCCTAGCATCCTCACCTCTTAAAAAAAAGAAGAAAAACAAACAAACAAACCTGACTCTTCTTTCTGCAGTGAAGCCCCTGTATATTAGGATCATATATACAGCAGTGGGAGTGCCATTAAATCCCACTTGCATTTAATTGAGTTGCCAAATTAACTAGATTTTACCATTGTCCATTCAGTGCACGGCATTCTGACCCACGCCTGTCTGGCACTGGTGAACACTTGCTTCTGCTGTGAATCAAATTGGGTTATTCCCATGGCTGCCAATTATACTTTTAACGGCCAAACATTTAATTAAAAATTACACAGACTGAAATTGAATGTGAAAAGGAATTGTTTCTGTGAAAGCTAAATTGAATGCTTTGAAAGTCTGAAAAATAAATTACTAAAATATTTCCTGTGCACTTAAGTAAGAGCAAGGTAACCATAAAGGGCTAGTAAAACTAGTCCAGACCTAGAAGGAATCTACACTCGGCTTCTCAGGTGTCCGGGGTCTTGCACCACTCCATCTAAACATTAGTCTGCAAGTGGTAATTCTGGACGACAAAAGTGATTAATGGAGGAAACGTGATGTGGAATTCCAATCAGCAGGCTCAAACTCAGAGAAAAGCCCTATTTCAAAAGATTGGTGAATAAATGTGCCTTTTTGCTTTAGGTTAAAATAAAGTGGGGGGCACCTGGGTGGCTTAGCTGGTTAAGCGGCTGCCTTCGGCTCAGGTCATGATCTCAGGATCCTGGGATGGGGCCCTGCATTGGGTTCCCTGTTCAGTGGGGAGTCTGATTCTCCCTCTCCCTCTGCCGCTCCCCCAGCTTGTGCTCTTTCGATCTTTCAAATAAATATTTTCTAAAAATAATAAAATAAAAGTGTTCATTCAAGTCTGTTGTTTCCTGCTGTTAGTATCCGTCCTGATAAGCACTCCTGTCACATGCATCTTACAGTGATTGCATGAGCTGTTCTCCATTACCACTACTACCCTGAGCACTGCCCTCCCCTGGTTTCCTTCATCAGCTTCCCGACTGGATGTCCACCCCAAGATTTGCCCTTCCCCCAGCCCCCTCTCTATGCTGCATGTAGCCAGCGAGACCTACTAAAAGCATGAAGCTGAACGTGTCACCCCTTTGCTTTATAACCTTTTACATCCAGACTTGTTTAAACTAGTAAAAGAGGACATTTAGATCTAGCCTCTACTTGCCTCTTGTCTCATCATTTTCACACTGCCATCCCCTTCCTTCACACTGGCTGCTTGAACCATGTCGACCCAACTTGCTTTCATGGTGCAGATGGGGATGGTGGGATCTCTGTGCCTCAGGGTGGGAGGATGCCAGGTGCTCTCGCCTCCAGGTCTCTCTGTGCACCGCCTCTCTGCCTGGAGCTCCTTTTGCTGTCCTTCAGCCCCAAAACTGACCTCCTGTCCATCAGGTCTCAGCTTTCCTCCAGCAAGTCTTTCCTGACCCCTCTACTTGAGGGCCCCTCCTGTGTGCTTTCCCAGCAATGCCCTGTCTTTCCCCCGACTCTAGCATTTAGCACCCGATACTTAACTATTTGTGGACTTGAATTCCCTTCAAGGCAACCAGACTGTTCAGTTCTACAGAGATCGGACCTGTTCGGTCGTCTTGTTTGCCATGGTCTCCACCTCACAGAGAGCTGAGTGAACAGAGGTGTGTTCTGAATACTGGTGGTTTCCGTGGGAAAACACTTGAGTAAACGGTTTTGTTTCTTTTGTAGCTGTTTTCGCTGCTGGCCTTTATCTGCGAGGAAGTCGTGTCACAGTGTACTTTGTGTGGAGGACTTTACTTTTTTGAATTTGTAAGCTGCAGTGCCTTTCTTCTGAGTCTCCTCATCCTGATTGTGTACCTCACTCCAGTTTACAACCAAGTCGATCCTGACAAAGTCAAGCAGTCGGTAAGCATGAAAAAAAAGAGAATCCCTTTACAAAGAACATAGCTCTTTTGGAATGTTGTGAAGTTCTGTTATTCAGACTAGTAATGCTTTTATTTTATTTTTTTAAATTTTATTTATTCATGAGAGATGGAGATAGAGAGGTAGAGACATAGGCAGAGGGAGAAGCAGGCTCCCTGCAGGGAGCCTGATGTGAGACTCCATCCCAAGACCCTGGGATCACGCTCCGAGCTATAGGCAGACGCTCAACCACTGAGCCACCCAGGCATCCCTAGACTAGTGTAATGCTTTTAAAACTCACGCTACAGGGGCACCTGGGTGGCTCAGTGGTTGACTGTCTGCCTTTGGCTCAGGTCATGATCCTGGGGTCCTGGGATCGAGTCCCACATCAGGTTCCCAGCAGGGATCCTGCTTCTCCCTCTGTGTCTCTTCCTCTTTCTGTGTGTCTCCTATGGATAAATAAATAAAATCTTTAAAAAAAAAAAACAAAAAAAAAAAACTCACGCTACTGAGTTTTAAAAGCACTACTCTTAAAACTTTGGAGTGTAGGACACTCTCCATTGTTCCAGCTCTGCCCCTGAGCAACTCCATTTTCCCTACCAAGTGGGGTTGTCGAGGGGGAAAGTGAAATCAGGAAGGGAGTGACAAATATTGTCAGGAGTTTTCAGTTACTGGTGGTTCCATCTCCTTCACTGTAGGTATTTTTTAAAAACTAAGATTTTTGTCACTTCTGACCTCTCACATTTCCAAGTGTCACTTATGGGTTCATTGTGCACCTGTTCTGCACCAGGCATTACACTAGACTCTAGAGAGTTTGATGAACTAATGTGATATATTTCTGGAGCTTTTAAAATAAAATGCCATGTAATTCTACCTATTTTGTTTTGATTTTTTTTGTGTGTGTGTTATGAAAGAAGTTATTAGTGAGCGAATTAAGGCATCTGTTGAATTCATTGTTCGGAAATTTCCCTTTTAATGAAAGCGTACATGAGAATTTTCTTTTCACAGAATCAATGATGCGTAACTTTGTAAAGACAGTCTGTTGGCGCGTGTCTATTTGAGTATAGTGTGGATTTGTGAGATGACACATGAAATGATTCACATGGTTTCCACACTTAAGAAAGAACTGAACAGTTTCCTTCTTCAGTAGTGTTGGAGTTAACAGTAGTGTGAAGTAGTGTGTGAAGAATTGTACATGTCAGGGTTGACATATGAAAGCACTCATGTCTCTGAGGGAAAAGATACAAATGAGGGTAAATTTTTAACTATTAAGAACAAGGAATAACAAGATCAATACAAAGCAGTAGGATTCTGTTTTTTATTTTTTAAATTTTTTAGAAGATTTTATTTATTTATTCATGAAGGAGAGAGAGAGAGAGAAGCAGAGGGAGAAGCAGGCTCCATGCAGGGAGCCCAACATGAGACTCAATCCCAGATCTCCAGGATCAGGCCCTGGACTAAAGGCAGTGCTAAACCACTGAGCCACCCGGGCTGCCCAGATTCTGTGTTTTAAATTGAGAAGTGAGCACTGAGTCACATACTAATATACACCTGAGAGACTTTTTTCTGTATACCCTTTAGTACCTTTTAAATCTTGTGCTGTGGGCAGCCTGGGTGGCTCAGCGGTTTAAGCGCCTGTCTTTGGCCCAGGGCGTGATCCTGGAGACCCAAGATCAAGTCCCACATCAGGCTCCCTGCATGGAGCCTGCTTCTCCCTCCGCCTGTGTCTCTGTCTCTCTCTCTCTGTGTCTATCATGGATAAGTAAATAAAATCTTAAAAAAAATAAAAAAAATTAAAAAAGATAAATCTTGTGCTATAAGAATCCATTACCTTCTTTTAACAGAATTATCTTAAGTTTAAAAAGTAAAAAGTTAAAAAAAAAAAGTTGATACCACAGCAGGTAAAAAAATAACTTTGAAAAATAGGTTGGGTCTGAATCACATCCACCAAGCCTTTGATGAGCACATACCTGCCGCTCTTGGTATAGCCAATATATGACTGTCTCGTTATCCTTCTAGATAATAGCAGCTCTCAGCGTGGACTTGGACCAGACAGTTTACATGCTGGGATTTAAAATCCTCATGCTGTAATGCTCCCATTTTTCTGGTAGGGAAATTTGGGTTCAGGGTGGTTACAGACCTTGTCCAGAGTTCCACAGGTAGCGTAAAAATAAATGGAGACTGGAACCCAGAAGAGCCCTCAACATTCTGCATTCCATTCTGTGGACTCCTCCAAATCCTCCTAGAACCAGCACCCTAGCAACTTTCCATTCTGTCATGGCAAATGGCATCACCTCAGGGATCTCCATATAATGATGACAGTAGCAGAACCCATTTATTGTATGAAATGCATATTAAGAGGTTGCAGAGAATTCCTTAGAATTTTTATTAATTATGTTTTAATCTTTGTAAATTTTTCCCTTTTACCGCATACACAGAAGTATGCGGTAAGATTTTTGGAAAAGTGAAAAAATTACTAGTATCTGAGCTGCTTGATTTGCAGTTCCTGTGTATAAATTTGTATTTTAAATATTAAAGACAAATTATTTTTCAGTTTCTTAGCTCTCAACAGCAAAACAGTATCATTATCCATAGAAATATTTTTAGAAATGTTCAGTTTTTACTTCAGTGCTGCATCTGTAGTGTTTAAGAACATTGATCTTTTTGGCCAGAAACAATATTAGAGTATTTTTCAGTTTAATGGTCTAACTAAACTAAACAAAATATAAAACATTTATTATATCAAATGAGCAATTAAGAATTTTTTTTTTAAGTTAGAGTTAGTACTGATCCTGAAATGCTGGAGGAAGGGAATAAATCAGTCATTTCATTCTAAAATAGCTTTTGTAAATATTTTACTATACTTCTTTTGGATCTTTTGTGTCTGTTTATAGGTGATTAAGAGTCATAGTCAGATATGTTGTAATTTTCACCTAACATTGTAAGGATTTCGTGTTTGTTTGAAAGGCTTAAAAATCACTTTTATTCTTGACCTATTAATGTACTTAAATACTTTTTAATGTCAGAGACGTTTTCTACTTTACAAAAAATATTTTTTTTATTTTTATTTATTTATGATAGTCACACACACAGAGAGAGAGGCAGAGACACAGGCAGAGGGAGAAGCAGGCTCCATGCACCGGGAGCCCGATGTGGGATTCGATCCCGGGTCTCCAGGATCACGCCCTGGGCCAAAGGCAGGCGCCAAACCGCTGCGCCACCCAGGGATCCCATACAAAAAATATTTTGAGAGGGTGGTGGTGGTGATGTTTGGGGGGATATGGGGAAAGGATAAGCTTTTTGAAGGGAGAATCTTTTCTATCCCATGCTGTTGTGGCTCAGAGTCTGTAGGAGTAACAACAGTCAACACTTATGGAACATTTACTGTGTGCCTGGCACTGATCTAAGCACCATTAGAATCACCTGTGAAGATACTGCTCTTACTCCTATTTTGCAGATGAAGAGACTAAGGCACACAGATGTTAAATAATGAATTCAGAGTCATAGAGCCAAGAAGTATTGTCCTGGGATTTGAACTCAGATAGTCTGGTTCTGGAACCTATGTTTATTGAACACCACATTATTCGGTCTCAAAATGGTTGCCTTGTTTGATACCTCCTTGAATGTAGTCCAGATACTAGTAAATGGAATTTTATTTGTGCGTCACAGATTTGAAATGACATTTGAGGGACACCTGGGTGGCTTAACAGTTGTGCGTCTGCCTTTGGCTCAGGGCGTGATCCCAGGGGTCTGGGATCCAGTTGTGCATTGGGCTCCTTGCACGGAGCCTGCTTCTCCCTCTGCCTGTGTCACTGCCTCTCTCTCTCTGTGTCTCTCATGAATAAATAAATAAAATCTTAAAAAAAATAACATTTGAAGGAATGAAAAATAAAGTATTGCAGAAAAACACTTTTTGTATAAGTGAAGAGAAAATCTCTTATTTATTTTTTTAGAAATGTTAAGTACACAATCGACAACATAGGAATTCTGTATTGGATGGGTTTTCAGAAAACTCTGAAAATATCAGACTTAAAAACCTTTGGAATGGCCAGTTTTACCAGCTTCTCCTCTGAATCAAGTGTGCATGTCAAGCACTGGTTTCAGTTGGCAACTGAGAGAAGCCTTACAAGATTATACCTGAGAGAGTCCTGGGAAACCCATGAAGAACTTCATGTCATGAACCGCATTTTGAGGAGATATGGAACCTTTTATAGAGTAGATAAGCTCATATCATACAAGCTCATTTTGAGTTAGTCACTTGGAACAATTGAAAGCAATATGTTCTTGCAGAAAGCTTACATTTCTTAAAAACATACTATTGGCATCATTTTATGTAGTTAATGACAGGTGGTTCTTCTGATTCTCTCTTTTCCAGAGTGCTTTCAAAGCACTGAAGTACTCTCAGAGAGGCCATCGTAGCATAGAATACAGATCTTCCTCAACTTAACAATGGGTTACATTCTGATAAATCCATCATAAGTTCAAAATATTGTAAATCAAAAGTGCATTTAATACATTTAGCCTCCTGAACATCATAGCTTAGCCTAACCTACCTTCAGTGTGCTCAGAACACTTATATTGGCCTGCAGTTGGGCAAAATCATCTACCACAAAGGCTATTTGATGATAAAGTGTTGACTCATGTAATTGGATACTATACTGAAAGGGACAAACAGAATGGCCGTGTGGGTCCAGAAGGATTGTCAGTGTACCCTGGTTGTTTAATCTTGTGATCGGTGGCTGACCAGGAACTGCTGCCACCGTGCAGCATCATGATGAAGAAGCGTCCTACACAACACTAGCCTGAGGGAGCATCCAAATTCACAGTTTGAAGTACAGTTTCTACTGAATATGTAACATTTTTGCATCATTGTAAAGTTAAAAATCATTAAGTGGAACCATTGTAAGTCAGGGACCATTTATACTTTGAAAGAGAAGAAAAGTCTGTTTCTGGTTTTTGTTTTTTGTTTTTTGTTTTTTTTGCTGGAAATAAGATGGGATTTTTTTTATCCTTTTTTAAAGATTTTATTTAAGAGAGGACGAGAGAGCACAAGCAGGGGGAGGGGCAGAGGGAGAAGCAGACTCTGCTGAGCAAGAAGTCCGATGTAGGGCTCAATCCCAGAACCCTGAGATCATGACCTGAGCCGAAGGCAGACGCTTAACAGACTGAGCCACTCAGGCACCCCATGTAAGATGGGATTTAATAAACCTTTGGGTTTGATAATTTTAATGTATCCTAGAACACACACACACACACACACACACACACACACACGACCTTTTGGGGAACTGCTTTTATTAAAAGATTATCTTGTGACATACTCTGAATACACCTGTCCAAAGTGTGGATAGTATTCCTTTACAGGGGTGTTCGTGAATTCCAGACTTGAGAAGCTGAAGCATGGGGTGCCTGGGTGGCTCAGTCAGTTAAGTGTCTGCCTTCGGCTCAGGTCATGATCCCAGGGTTTTGGGATCGAGCCCCAAGTCAGGCTCCCTTGTCAGCAGGAAGCCTGCTTCTCCCTCTCCCTCTCCCTCTCCCCCTGTTTATGCTCTCTTGCTTTCTGTCTGTCAAATAAAAAAAATTTTTTTTAAAGAAGCTGAAGTATGTTGGTTTGGGCTATATGAAGAAAAAACTGTGTCACTAAAGTTTTTAAAAAATAAAAAACAAAAGCTATTGTTTCTATCAACCTAACCATACGGTGTTCTTTATGCACATGTTCTAGGACTTTTATATTACTTTGGGAACAGGATGTGTGTTTTTGTTGGCATCCATCATTTTCGTTTCCACACATGACAGAACAGAAGCTGAGATGGCTGCATCCGTGAGTACCTTGTATTTTGAAGCCTTGCTTAAGTTTTGTTTCCTTAGAAATATGGAACTTGAAAGTACTTGACAGGTGATACAGTGTGGGAGAGTGGTTTGTTTAGTAATTTATTTTTTAGTGTAATTTTGAATAGAGGACCTAAGAGCAAATAAATATGATAGCCTTAGAAACCTAGAACCTGTCTTCAGAATTTAGAATAAAACCCCCTTTCCTCTACATATGAACGCCTCACTGCTAATGGAAGTGGTAGTATTGACTTTGGTTATTGTATGTTTTTCTACTTTGCAGTCCAGCAAAAACATACCTACATGCCACATGCTTTTCTAGGTGTAGAGAGCACATAGGAGAAATGATCCAAGGGTTCTATCTTTATAATAAAAGAGAGATAATAAATAGAAAAGTAAATGTTTTTATCCGAAATCCTTGGGGGGGAGGAGACAGATTTATGTATGTATGTATGTATTTATTTATTGAATTCAGAATATTCTGGTTTTTAGAAAAGTAGCACTGCACATGTACTAATATTATATGACACCTTCAGAGGGCCTGGAGCAGCACCCTGTAATCCAGCATGTTAATATTTCTGAAGCTTGAATATTCACACTAAAAGGGATAAAGACTGGAAGGAGTTATACTTCATGCCACTTTTTAGCCAAGTAAATTATGAAAGCTTTATTTTTGTAGCTTTTTGGATTTTAGAATTACAAATCAAGGATCATGCACCTGAATTGGTACCAGTGTTGTGAACATGAATAGCTGATAACTGAGTGATTCATCCTCTTCCAAGTCAGCTGGGTTCCAATTAATATTTTATTCATGACAAAACTGAACTTATAATTAATTGACTTGTCAGCTATTAGATCATTAAAATCATTAAACTCAATTAATTACAGAAAACTCAAAAGGAGTTCAGAGACTTCACCTGTTAATGTGAGCATGGTTAGCACACACGTAAAACCTGTATAAAACAAAACAAATTAATGGGGAACCTTGACTCATTCTGGCAACAAGTAATATTTATGCATGTGCACACAAATCAATGGTACATGAAGAGAAAAGTCAAAGTTTTAATAGACCCTTATGGTTAATTTCAGTCTGTATACATATTTTTATTGCAGAGTAGTATGATAGGGTGATCAGTAAAATGTTTTGAGGTATGGAAATATATTATTAAAAATCCTTGGAGAGGGTTGCCTGGGTGGCTCAGTTAGATGAGAGACCAACTCTTGATTTCATCTCAGGTCATGATCTCAGGGTCACGAGATCAAGCCCTACCTTGGGCTCTGCACTCAGCAGGGAGTCTGCTTGAGATTCTCTCTCCCGCCCATGCCCCTCCCTCAGCTCGCTTGTGCACTCTCTTTCTCTCTCTCAAAAATAAATAAATAAATCCTTAAAAAATAAAATAATATCCTTGGAGGAAGTGAAATAGAGTTGAGGAAAGTTGAGTTGAAGGGGAAAGAGAGTATGGCATGAAATTCCCAGCTATTAAAACACAGGTTATTTGTGTGTTACAATTAGGTGATGTATTAGATTATTAACAGTATTTAGATTTTGTTGGATATATTTAAGAATGACTGGTAGTTTAAAAACTCAGTATATATAATATGCTGGAAATTACCTTTTACAACTATTTAAATTATGACAAAATTTACAGACTTAAACGAGTGAGGGAGTCCATTAAAAAAAATTGTCAAGTATGTGAACAACAGATCTGGAAGATGATTTGTCTGGATGGTATGGCATAGAGGGCCCTGTGTGGACTGGGGCTCTCCAGGAGGTCAGGGATGGCTTCACAGACTTGGTGATGTCTGGACTGTCCTTAAAGCATGTAATATGTTTCCCAGGCAAATAAGGTAATAGACACCATCATGCCAAAATGAAGCCTCCAGGGGATCCCTGGGTGGCGCAGCGGTTTGGCGCCTGCCTTTGGCCCAGAGCGCGATCCTGGTGACCCAGGATCGAATCCCACATCGGGCTCCCGGTGCATGGAGCCTGCTTCTCCCTCTGCCTGCGTCTCTGCCGATCTCTCTCTCTCTCTCTCTGTGACTATCATAAATAAATAAAAAATTAAAAAAAAAATGAAGCCTCCAGAGGGGAGAAGTGACTTGGGTTTGGAGATGTGGGATGGTAATTAAATATCAGTTGGATGTTTTGGGGCTATTGGGGTGAATTAATGACATTTGGAGTTCAGTTTGCTTTACAGTGAGATGTAGCAGAATGTATTCTTTAGGATAGAAAGGTTGGATGTGAAGGGTCAAGAGAGTGGAGTGAACTACAACAAAATATTAAAAATCTAGAACAGACTGCTGGTTACTGAAGTGAGGTGGGTTGGGCGATGGCTAAATAGGTGATGGGGATGAGTGAATGCACTTGTCTGATGAGCTCTGAAGTGCTGAATCACTATATTGTATACCTGAAACTAGTATTACTAATATTAATCTGTATGTTAAATAAAAACTAAAAGAAATTTTAAAAAACAATAAATAAAAATCATGGAGAGGGCAGTCCCAGTGGCCCAGCGGTTTAGCGCCTGCCTTCGGCCCAGGGTGTGATCCTGGGGACCTGGGATCGAGTTCCGCGTCAGGCTCCCTGCATGGAGCCTGCTTCTCCCTCTCCCTGTGTCTCTGCCTCTCTCTGTATCTGTGTCTCTCATGAATAAATAAATAAAATCTTAAAAAAAAATGATGGAGAGATGGATGTTAGATGTGGAAGGGATTTTAGCCATTACCTACATCAATTTTCTCTTTTTATAGAGCAGTTCTTTGACCCCATTTCTTTCCTGGTTTTGCTTAGTGAAGATTTCTTGACAGAATTCTCAGAATGTTTGATCATATGTTAGAAGAGTACAATAAGGAAGTGATTTAAGGAAGAGGAAGTAGGTAGTGGTGTCATGTTGCTGTGTCATTACAGTGTGACAACTGGAAAATATTTTTAGGTAATTTAACCTAAAAGTATCTTCAAAATAGAATTTCTGTTGATCAATCAATTGTTATTGATTACTTCTTGCCATTTTCACCTATGCTCAGCTCCCTACTCACATATTTCCTTTACCTCCCCTGTGGATCAGTCTAACCATTGCTAATAATCTTGTGTTTTGTATCATTTTATAGGATTTTGTTTTTCATCTATTAACCTTAGTTTCACAGATTGGCATCCCACATATACACATGCACACACAAAACGAGACATCTCTATTTTATGAGACGTCAACTAATAGCCATTATTCTAGGGTTTTATTTTTTGTAACTTTTTTTTTTAATGACCTGAAAAAGTACTTTATTACTAAGGTTAAGAATAGGGTGTATAAGATAGGGATGCCTGAATTAAGACATTAAGCATCTGCCTTCAGCTCAGGTACTCGGATCGTGCCCCGTGCTGGGCTCCTTGCTCAGCAGAGAATCTGCTTCTCCCTCTCCCCTGCCCCCTCATGTACTCTTGCGAGCTCGCTCTCTCTCTCTGTCTTACTCTGCACACACACTCTCTCTCTAATAAATAAAATATTTTTAAAAAAGGAAGAAGAATGTGTATAAGATAAAATTGATGAATCACCTTGCTTGTATAAAATGCTCTCAGAGCCAAGTAGAAAATGTGAGATTATATTCCAAAATCTGTCATATAACCCTTGTTCTTTCTTCTCAGGTCTTTGGATTTCTGGCAAGTATTATGTTCCTGTGTGACGTTGTCGTTGTGTTCATTTGGAAACGACGGGAGTCCCAGGCTAGGAAACCAGAGGCTACGAGGCCAGGGGGCCTCACAGAACCCCTTAATGGTTAAGGACTCAAGAGACCGGGTGTTACATAAGGTATTGACTGCATGGCACCTGAGCCCTGGCCGAAGCTCATGGAGAATTTGTCTAATTGTTAAACCACTTCTTTTGGAGAGCGAGGGGAAGGGCAAAAAGGCAGTGTGTCAGTTACCACAAATTAAGCCAGAGAGTTTTGGGGTTTAAAAAATTTTTTTTAAAAATAATGTTAAAACTTCTGTCACTTAAAATGGTTCTGTTTTTGTTTTTGGAATTGAGGACAGTTGTTTCTTTAAATCACATAGCTCAACTGATGAGAATTTATTCTGTCATCATTGTTGGCCTAGCTATCAAATTATGCTATACAGCCAGCATGATTAATTCATTGATTTAGACATTGTTTTATTCTTAAATTAATTTGCTTAGGTAGGTTTTTTTGATATCTGATAAAATTCAATGTATACTGAAGAGATCACTATTTAAAATGTTGGTCTAGGTTTTTTTTTTTTTTTTCCTTAAAAATATAATACCCAGGTTTTACTGTATCTCACTCGGCCTTAAAATTACATTGTAACATTTTAGGATAATTATTAATTCTTTCTGAGACCCTTTATAGCCTAATAGAAACTGTATGAAAGGTGTTGGTATTTTATATGTATAAGAGCAACAACATCATAAACCCCATGTTTATACTGCACTTTGGTTGTTGTTAATAAGCAAAAAAAAAAAAAAAAAAGAACAATTGTATATAACACAGAAAAATGGAAGAAACTCTCATTGCTAGAGACCAAAGATAAAAAAGATACACTTTTTTGCGCAATACATGGAAAGTAATTATAAAAACAGGTTTCAACCACTTACCACTGTCTGAAGAGAGAAGTTCATACTATGAGTTAGAAATTGATCCATTTCCCTACTGGCATGTGGTTATTTCTACTGAAGTTAATACAGCTCTGCGGGTCCTGTGCAGTGTCTTCTCTGAAGCCTTCCCTCTTTTTAAAACCCCAGCCTTTGATTTTTACATCTATTTGAGATTCTCCCTTCTACTCTCTTTACCCCACATGGTCTGTACACTTCATCATCCGACAGCAGTGGAGCCTCTAGCTCTGACTCTTGCTTGATGGCAGGGGTCTCTATGTGGTCCAAAATTTGGGGCCCTTTTAATCACATAGAATATGTAGCAGGATCTTTAGGGTTCTTGTTCCCACCTTGGGCACTACTATAACTTCTCTTTGAAGAAGACTTTCTTAAGAAAGTAAGCATCTAGCAGATCCTGCCCAGGTTAATACTGATGATGGTATAAGGAAGCAGTCTAACCATTCTCAAGAGACACTTCATACCTAGTTCTGATGGTTTGGAAGAGTTGTCTCTTTGCTGGCAGGCTGTCTTAGGGCCAGCCAGACAAGGCACTTGAGATAGGACCTTTCTGACCAACTGCTTCTCAGAGTAGACCTTTCTTGTACTCCTCTTCCATTTTCGACTCAGGACTGTAGTATTAAGACAGTCCTGAGCCCATGCGTCAGTACTTCAGGACTTTGGTGGAGGTCTCCCAGGGTTTTCTATCTGAAGGAGTAGAATCATGTTTCCAGTGAGAAAAGTTAATGACCTTATCCTTTTTAAAATTCTCATTTGTGCGTTGTAGATGTGGCAAATGTGGTTGTCAGAATTCATCATTATGGCCAGACACAGCTTCTGCTCTGTCTTGCTCAGAACCTTACTCATTTGTAGCAGAGCATGGATGCTAGCTAGTGCTAGTGATGCTGTCACCACTACCTCCTTGGGAGATAATGAAACCAATCACTGATGCTGTTTTTACTGGGCACACCATTGAAGTGAGGAGAAGTAGCCTGGTTCTGGGGTTCAAGAATAAAGAGTAGCACAAGATAACTAGCTTCGGTTGGCAGGTTCTGGAATTTCACATCTAACTATACACCACTGTCATTTTAAATATCATGTAGACCCGGCTGGGTGTCACAAAAAAGCATCTGGGCTACCTCAGGGAACCCCCCATATATGTGCATGGGCATAGTTGAGTTTGATGGATATATCCGAGCCGGCCTCACACGTACAGCACGTTGGCATTGAGCTTCACCTCTGCTTGCTCAGAGGCTTTGCTTCCTTTTGTTTCACTGAGGCAGAAGTGGACCTCTTCACTGCCACTTAACTCTTCCCTTTTCAGAAAGATAATATATTCACTAGTATTTTTGGTCACTCTAGAACTTTTCTTCATTCTATTTTTTAGGGGACCCATGACTGATTAGCCTTGCTCTTCTGTTGTAGAAGGAACGAGAGTAAAAAGACCATGTAGAAAATAAAAAGTTTAAGGAGATCTTGGGACCAAAACCCCTTCTATGTCCAAAAAAGGACACACTCAGTAAACTGAAATTTAACATAATTTTTTATTAACAGCCATGTTACATTTGTTATATTTTATACAAATAAACTGTTTAGAATGGTTCTTAAAAATTATAAGGGAAATGCACATACAGTATAAAAATTTTTATAATTGTACTTAAATTATGTTCTATTTGGGGACTGGGAAAAGTATTTTTACATTGTTTATAGCCAATTGCTTTTGTATTTATCAGTTTAAATCCTTGGGTCTTTTTTTTTTTTTTTTAATCTCTCTCATTGGCAAATTTTGTAGTCTTCTTTTTAAATAAATCCATTTAATCGCCTGCCTTTGTAGTTGTTTCATTATTATTACAGAAGCCTGATGCTGAGATGAAAACTTTCTCCAGAGTTCTAGGAGTTGGCTCTACAACCCTGGGTAAGTCCCTATGTAGGAGACTGAGTTGTGTGAGTCTGCCCAGGTGTGGGGCACAGGTAGAAAAGAAATGAACCCACTTCCTTTCCAGGGGCTGCCGCTCTTGCTGCCAAGATGGAGTACCCATCCAAACTGTTTTTAGGGAGCCATATATTGAAGAGTCACAGAGGAATGTTAGGGAGTAAACAATTTGAAATACTTGCAGAGAAGCAAATTGAGACACGCCCATCCCATCTCTCAATGTGGCCACACAATGCTAAAAACAAAAGAGGCACATTCTCTTTCAGACTGTCCAGTGACTAGGAAAGTGTGAAGCAAAACTTTGGTAGTTCTGGTCAAGCTTACAACTATTTGTGTCATCTGCAGAATTCCTGCCTCCAGTCTGTACAAGAATAACAAGATCTTTATAGTCATCAGGAACTCACTGGAATCTGTACATTCTTCAGAGTTTTGTATTTTGTTTTGATAGAGAGCATTGTGTATCATTGTGCAGTCAACTGCGAGGAGCAGAAAACCTAATTTTTTTTAAAAGATTTTATTTATTTATTCATGAGACACACAGAGAGAGGGAGAGACATAGGCAGAGGGAGAAGCAGCTCCTTGCAGGCAGCGGATGCGGGACTACATCCCAGGACTCCAGCATCACACCCTGAGCTGAAGGCAGACACTCAACCACTGAGCCATCCAGGCATCCCAGAAAACTTAATTTAAATAGGTCTTAAGCAATAAGGAAAATTTGTTTCCTAAGAAACGAAGATAGGGCAGTTCTGTGACTGTCAGAGTTCAGTGACTCATTGGCATTTGCAGGGACCAAGACTCTTCCCATGTTTTTCTGCCCATCCATCTTCTGCTGTGAGTTTTTGTTCTTAGGATTGACCCTTTAGGGTAGAGTAAGATGGAGGCAATATCTCCAGGCATCGTTCACTTGCACGACCCTGTCCAAAGGTGCGAAGGGAAGAGATTATAGAAAAACGAACACTTTTCGGTGCTTGAACTAAATCATAACTGTACAAGTAATGTGTACCGTAGCAAATTGCTTTAATAAAAGAAGGGAAGTATTGTTTCCTGAGATCTTTGCATTTGGCTACTTTTAATTGTTGAAATAGGCACTGGAAGCACAGGAGATCATACCCTGTTGAAGGCACTGCCCAGCTTTAGTAGATCATAGCTTTTATTAACCATATTTTCTTTAAAGGACCTTGTTTAAAACAAAATGAAGTTTCACTTTTGAAGTACCACCACCTCGAATTTTACTTTTTTACTTTTCCAAAGGCAAACACTACTTTGCATTTGATGGCTGTCTTTCCTGCTTTATCCTCTGTGCTCTCTATAGAAATGTGTCCATAAGCAATGTGTAACATGGTCTCTATGCTCTATTTCTCCTTTTATAGATTGCTTTCTTCAATCAGTAGTATTTTGTAATTTATGAGACGCAGCTCTCGTTCACTCATTTTTACTACTTGGTCTTCCATTGAATGAATACGCCATAATTGACTCACTTTTCCACTATTGATAGAAAACTTTTAATGTGGTTTATTTTTGACATATTTGAACATGTGCACATGTGCAAGAGTTATATGTTGAGTGTGTCCTTAGAAGTAAAACCATTGGTTCACAGGGCATGTGCAGTTCCAACATGGCTAACTCCCCAGTGGCCTCCAAAGTGGAGCCCTCTCCTCAGCAGCGTACGGGACTGCTTGTTCAAGGAAACACTAGCGTTTGTCTTGCACTTAGTATTAGTTTGGCTTAACGCTTCTGCTGACCTGGGACGGAAATGGTCTCTCATTTGATTTTACACTCCCCTTATTACTGGTGAACCTGATCATCTTCTCATTTGGTTGTTAACCTTTTAGGCTTCCCCACATCTAAGAGTTTTTTGTTTATATCCTTTGCCTTTCTTTCACATTGAAGTTTTTTTTTTTTTAAGATTTTATTTATTTATTCATGAGAGACACAGAGTCAGAGAGAGAGGCAGAGACACAGGCAGAGGGAGAAGCAGGCTCCATGTAGGGAGCCTGATATGGGACTGGATCCCTGGTCTCCAGGATCACGCCGTGGGCTGAAGGTGGCGCTAAACCACTGAGCCACCCTGGCTGCCCACATTGAAGTTTTTTTAAAAACTCACTTTAGAGTTCTTGACATATTGTGGATGCTATCCTTTGTTAGTAATAAATTAGCATTGGAAATGTCTTACCAAAGTCGAAAATAATATTTTAACTTTGCTTCTTTGCTTATCAATTGTTACCTCAAGGTCACAGACATTCTCTTTCTAAATTGTTTAAAGATTTGCATTTTGGATGCCTGGGTGGCTCAGCGGTTGAGTGTCTGCCTTTGGCTCAGGCCATGATCCCAGACTCCTGGGATCGAGTCTCACATCGGGCTCACTACAGGGAGCCTGCTTCTCCCTCTGCCTGTGTCTCTGCCTCTCTCTGTTTCTTATGAAAAAATAAAATCTTAAAAAAAAATAAAGATTTGCATTTTATATTTAGTACTTGAATGTACCTCAATCTTTGTGTGTGGTGTGAGTACTGCATGCCATCTGATTTCTCGTGTTAGCAAGTGACTCTTTGCTCCTCTAGAGACAGTGTCCCTCTGTCATTTACCAGGTTTGTGTATATGTGTGGGTCCAGGGCTGGCTTTCTTGGCCTGTTTTTCTATACTTAGGCTAATACCACAGTCTTGATAAAGTCTTAGTATCTAATAAGGCAAGTTTAAAATTATTCTATTCTTGACACTTCCTTTTTTGAAGTCTTTTAAAAAAGATTTTATTTACTTATTTGAGATAGTATGAGCAAGTTGGGGAGGGAAGGAGAAGGAGGGGCAGGTTCCACACTGAGCAGGGAGCCCAATGTGAGACTTGATCCCAAGACCTTGAGATCATACCTGTGCTGAAGGCAGATGCTTAACTGACTAAGCCACCCAGGGGCCCCTATTTTAAAGATTTTTAAAAAATAGTTATAGATTTGCAGTAAAATTGAGAGGTTACAGAGGTACTTTCATTTTTACTATAAAATCTTAAGATAGGTTTGTCAAGTACCATAAAAAGCCTGTGTTAATTTTTTTCTTGGAATTGCATTGAATTTATAGATTAATTTGGGGGGGTTATTATGATTAAACTCTGTCATGAACCTAGACTCTCCACTGATATGGTTGGGTCTTTTTTTTTTTTTTTCAGTAAAGTTTGATGGTTTTCTTCATAAAAGTCTTGTACAACCTTTGTCAGATTATCCTAGATACTTAATTTCTACAGGTATCCAGAATGGGATCTTTATTTTAAAAAGTATTCCAATTAGAATGGTGGAAGGGGATTGTGATAGAGTTGTAATGATCTTGTATTCAGCACTATTGCTGCAATCTCTGCAATCTCTGATAGCTTGTGGACTCCTGTAGGACTTCTCACATCCTGGATAATTTGTATCCTTGTGTTATTTAACTTGTTCCTCTCTTCTCAGTGTTTTCTTTAAACAAAGATATCTGTAAAGGCTTGCTTAAAATCAGATTAGTCTTCTCCTTTTTCTAAGGTTTTCTTGTGGGTGATGCTGTGGACTTCACCAGGCAGCATGTACTCTCCAGCAGGCCTGCACTAGCTGTATCCCTTTGTGGTTCGGCTGCTGTCATCTGATCCCGCCCACCATAAGGGTTCCCGTCAACTTTTTAGTTAGAAGTTTCCATCCCTTGACCTTTCTCTTAATCTTTTATCAGAGGTTGCAAAATGGTGACTGTAATTCCTGCCACTTTTATTAGCTAAAATTCTTCAGTAACACCCTTCTCATTTGTACCGTGCATATTTGACTTTACAGAAACAACAGTAATCGGTACTCCTACTCACCTCCTGAATGATACTGAGACCTGAGTAATGCCCGTCAGTTCTTCCCATCTACTGCATTGTTAGGGCCTAGTAGTTTTTACTTGATCCTGTTTTAACACCTTCTTCACCTTCCAGGTGTTCGTCTAAGTGCTTTTCTCTAGATGTGGTTGCTTTATATAACCATGTATATAACATAAATATTGAGCCTGTAATTAAAGTTATGCATTTCTTTGGGGGCCGCACTCAGTGTATTCCATCGTCACTAGTCGGGTCCTGGGTGGCCCAAACACCTGACCATACAGCGAGGCCATTAGTAGCAGCCCATGAGCTGGTGTGCAAATGTTGTTCACTAGATCTTGGGGTGGTGCGCTCTGGCTAATAGTCCCACGTGTTCAGCCCATTGCATGAGGTGTCCACTGTGGTGGGCCGTGAACCATTTACCACCCCTGGATGGTGATAGCACTGCGGAGAACCTGCTTGCCTCGGAGGTGGGTGGGCTCTTTCATCACTGATTCTTGTCACCTGGCTTATTTGGTAGGTGAGTCCTTTGTTAAATCAGCAGTTCATTAGGGAAAACACTATTTCTGTTTAATGGGTGGGCAACCACCTGTTTGTGAAGATGGTTAAAGGCTCAGGGGCTGGGCTTGGCCCTTAATCAGAAGATCCATTTTCTCCTCAGGAGCGGACTTTCTGGGTCTTGTCTCATCTATGGAATCTAGTTCAGAGTTTCCAGATGAGAATGTCAAGTGGGAATCAGTTTGGTTTAGGGCTCAATAATGCTAGCAGTTGCCTCTCGGCAGGAAGAGGAAGCCGTCAAATTCCAAAGCTCACAGGCCCAGAAGTGGAGTTTTCATTGCTCAAGTAAACTGTGCGATCAGTTGGACACCTGTAGTTTCTTGAGGTCTGAGGGAGACAGAGGCTCTAAGGTAAGGCATTTACAGCTGCCTGAATTGCTCCTAAAATTTCCTTGTGAGGGCCCTCACTCAAATGAATACATGTCTGATGACTTGGGGTGGAGGCTGTAGGAATATTCCTAGGTTTGGGATGTACAATCTCCAATAGTTAAAGTACAGAGCAGCCAGTTTGGGTATGGAGACACTTCTTCTGTAGTTGGTTGCTACTATAAAGTTTGTTTTTTTTTTTTTTTTAAGATTTTATTCATTTAGTCATGAGAGAAAGAAGCAGAGGGAGAAGCAGGCTCCCTGCTGTGATGTGGGACTCTTCCCAGGACTCTGGGATCACTACCTGAGCTGAAGGCAGACGCTTAACTGCCTGAGCCACAGGCACCCAGTTTGTTCTAACTTGATTGTAAACTAGCTCCTCGAGCTGTGACACGGCTTCCAAGACGGTCACTTGGAAGGCAGGACACTTGGATTCCGTCCTCATTTCAAGCCCATCTGTCTTTCAGCAGCTGTGCTTGGGTGGCATGTAATGCAACTAACGCAGTTTTCTCTGTGGAGCCATTATGGAAATGCTGCCAGAAGCACCAGAAGTGCACATTACACTAGCTGTGTGCCATGCACTGATGCTCTGTCACCGGAGAGTTCAGAGCAGTGTGAGTGTATGCTGTCAGGTGAAGACAGCTCTCTCACTCCATATCCCTGCCCCCGGCTCTAACAAGGAGATCAAAAAATAAAGTATTAGCAATGCTGTAGATTGCAGAACGAGGTATGACAACACATTCACTCACTTTGATAATGTCATGCACTGTGGAAATGGACATGACCACGGTCTTTCAGCTCCCGTGGCTGGCAGAGGTGTTCCTCTTAAAGGCATCTGTGGAGCTTCGCGTGGCCCTCTGGCTATAGGAGACCTATAGAAGACAATGTACTTTCTCTTCTTCCAGGAAAAGGCGCGTCTCCAGGTCATGCTTGGGAAGCTCCATGGACGAACACCATTCTTGGCTCGGCCTCTGACTGAGCCTTCTAGGAGCCACCAATAGGGGTCGCAGGGAGTGTGTCCTGTGAGCAGATTCTTGCCAAAGAGCCACGCACAGAGTCCAGACCAAAAAACAAGATGCCCACGCAGCCACATAACTACAGCCAGTATCTAGTAAGTCGAGGAATACTTGGGGCTTCCTCCAGGGTGGCGTTGAACCCGGACACCCAACCCCATGTCCCTCCTTGT